CCTGCCAGGCAACGTGTGGCTTTCCTCAGTCGGTGATGCCCTGCACAATGTCAGCTTCTGGATTGGGGACCACACAAGGATGACAGACTCAGAAGGAGAAGGATCAGCGTGAGGTCAGGAGTTCGAGACCAGCCTGGTCAACCTGGTGAAACCCCAACTCTACTAAAAATATAAAAATTAGCTGGGTGTGGTGGTGCACGCCTGTAATCCCAGCTACTCAGGAGGCTGAGGCAGGAGAATTGCTTGAACCTGGGAGGTGGAGGTTGCAGTGAGCCAAGATTGCGCCACTGCACTCCAGCCTGGGTGACTCCATCTCAAAAAAACAAATGAACAAACAAACAAACAAACAAAAAAGCATGATCAAACTGCCTGTGCTTTTCAAAAGCAGATTTGGGGTGACAGAGTCATCTTTTCACAGAGCCTGGCCTGGAGTCACGCACAAAGATGTCAAGGGAGGCCAGGCGCCATGGTTCATGCCTGTAATCCCAGGATTTTGGGAGGCTGAGGCGGGTGGATAGCTTGAGCTCAGGAGTTTGAGATCAGCCCGGGCAACATAGCAAGACCCTGTCTGTACCAAAAGTACAAACAAACAAACAAACAAACAAACAAAAACGAGCTGGGTTGATGGTGTATGTCTGTAGTCCCCAGCTACTCAGGAGGCTGAGGTGGGAAGATTGTTTGAGCCCAGCAGGCGGAGGCTGCAGTGAGCCAAGATCACGGCACTGCGTTCTAGGCTGGGTGACAGAGAGAGAACTCATCCCCCTGTTCCCCCAACCCCACCACCCCGCTTAAAAAAAAAAAGATGTCAAAGGAATCTGAGCTGTCACTCGGATTTTTGTTTCAATTGAAAACAGCTTTCACTGGGCATATATATGTGCATTTAACCCTGTTTGCAAACCACTGTATCCATTTCGTATTGCTGCTGAAACAAATGACTGCCAATGTGTCATCTTGACAGTTCTTGAGATCAGTAGTTGAAAATGGGTCCCCCTGGGCTAGAGTCAAGGTAACAGCAGGCGGATTCCTTCTGGAGGCTCTAGAGGAGGGTCTGCCCCCTAGCATTTTCCAGCATCTAGAGGCTGCCTGCATTCCTTGGCTCAGGCCCCTTCCTCCATCTTCAAAGCCCGCAGTGTAGCACCTTCAAATCTCTCTGACCTCTGTCATTATGTGGTCCTTCTCCCATCTGACCCTCCTGCCTCCCTCTTATAAGGACCTTTGTGACTACACTGAGCTCACTCAGATAACCTGGGATAATCTCTTCCATCTTGAGATCTTCATCTCATCTGGAAAATCCCCTTTGATATATCACGTAACACATTCAAAGGTTCCAGGAATTAGGGCGATGACATCTTTGTGGCGCTATTTTTCAGACTACCACCTCCTCTAACAAATAAAGAGAAGGAAGGATAGTCTGGCAACTGAGAGGAGGATGAGCTGGAAGTAGGCAGGCTGATGTTAGGGAGAACTGGAGGCTGCTGCAGGCTCAGCAAGGAAGATGCTGGTGGTCTGTGCTGGGGTGGAGAGGAAGGAATGGACACAGGATGTGTTTCAGAGTGAGGGCAGCCTGGTTATGGGCACTATCTGGTTTAAGTGGGCAAGGACTAGCAGGAGAGACATGGGAAGATAAGCCTGAGTATACAGATGGGCTGACTGGGTAGATGTTGGTGACCTTCAGAGGGCCCAAGGGGAGGAGCAGTTTTGCGGCAAGGACAAAGAGGGCATGAAGGGATGTGTTACATCCCAGACACCGATGAGACATCCGGGAGAGAAGCCCCTGAGTCAAGTGGATCCAGGGCCTTTTGGGTCCCTCCCCTTATTATGAGAATATATGGACTCATCTTTCACTTTGTTTTTAAATTTTTATTTGTATTTGCATTTATTTATTTATTTAGAGACAGAGTCTTGCTCTGTTGCCCAGGCTGGAGTGCAGTGGCACAATCTCAGCTCACTGCCACCTCTGCCTCTTGGGTTCAAGTGATCCTCCCATCTCAGCCTCCTGAGTAGCTGGGATTACAGGCACGGATCACCATGCCCAGCTAATTTTTGTATTTTTGGTAGAGACAGGGTTTCGTCATGTTGCCCAGGCTGGTCTCAAACTCCTGACCTCAAGTAATCTGCCTGCCTCAGCCTCCCAAAGTGCTCAGATTACAGGTGTGAGCCACCGTGCCTGGCCCCGCCTTGTTTTAAAAAATATTTATGTATTATCATTATTTTTTAAAGAGATATGATCTGACTGGGCACAGTGGCTCATGCCTGCAATCCCAGCACTTTGGGAGGCTGAGGTGGGCGGATCACCTGAGTTCAGGAGTTTGAGACTAGCCTGGCCAACATGACAAAACCCTGTCTCTACCAAAAATACAAAAATTAGCTGGGCATGGTGGCAGGTGACTGTAATCCCAGCTACTTGGGAGGATGAGGCAGGAGAATCACCTGAACCCAGGAGGTGGAGGTTGCAGTGAGCTGAGATCACGCCACTGCACTCCAGCCTGGGAGACAAAGCGAGACTCTGGCTCCAAAAAAAAAAAAGAGAGAGAGAGAGATAAAATTTTTTTTTTTTTTTTTTTTTTGAGACGGAGTCTTGCTCTGTCGCCCAGGCTGGGGTGCAGTGGACGGATCTCATCTCACTGCAAGCTCCGCCTCCCGGGTTCAGGCCATTCTACTGCCTCAGCCTCCGGAGTAGCTGGGACTACAGGCGCCCATCACCTCACCCGGCTAGTTTTTTTGTGTTTTTTAGTAGAGATGGGGTTTCACCGTGTTAGCCAGGATGGTCTCGATCTCCTGACCTTGTGATCCACCCGTCTTGGCCTCCCAAAGTGCTGGGATTACAGGCTTGAGCCACTGCGCCCGGCCTTTTTTTTTGTGTGTGTGTGACAGAGTCTCACTCTGTCACCCAGGCTGGAGTGCAGTGGTGTGATCTCGGGTCACTGCAACCTCTGCCTCCCGGGTTCAAGTCATTCTCCTGCCTCAGCCTCCCGAGTAGGTGGGACTACAGGTGCGTGCCATCACACCTGGCTTACTTTTGTACTTTTAGTAGAGATGGGGTTTCACCACGTTAGCCAGGATGGTCTTGATCTCTTGACCTCGTGATCCACCTGCCTCAGCCTCCCAAAGTGTTGGGATTACAGGCGTGAGCCACTGAGACCAGTTGAGAGATAAGATCTTACTCTGTCACCCAGGCTGGAGTGCAGTGGCATGATCGTAATTCACTGCAATCTTGAACTCCCGAACTCAAGTGATTCTATTCTCCAGCCCCAGCCTCGTGAGTAGCTGGGACTCTAGGCACAGCCCACCAGGCCTGGCTATTTTTTTCATCTTTTGTAGAGATGGGAGTCTCTCTATGTTTCCCAGGCTGGTCTCAAACTCCTGGCCTCAAGTAATTTTCCTGCCTCAGCCTCCTTAAAGTGCTGGGATTACAGGTGTGAGCCACTGCATCCAGCCTCATCCTCCATCTTGATTTCTGGGTCATGATCTCTGTTTGACCCGAAGTTTTCCAATTCCAGATAAGAATTAAGGAGTTAGCTTGTATTCTGAAGCCGGAATAGCATTGATATTTATCCCACATTGAGTTTGAGTTTATCAATCTTAAAAACAAGAATTTAAGTAATAAGTTATGTCACTTGCACAAGGACCCACGCACCTGTCATGTGACAGATCAGTAGTTATGTTGCCTAATAAAACATACAATAAGTATGCTTGTGACTTATACATTTTAGAGATAAGGATGTTTTCTCTCCCTATCTGTCATATCTGCCTTGGAGATGTGCACAGGACAGATAGCAGAAGACAAAGTGTCTTCCTGTCTTTTGAGAAAGCCTGAGCTCATAGAAGATTCCATTCTGAGTGTCCCCAAGGAGAAGGGGAGAGGGGACTTTTAGGGAAACCAAGTTAGCAGGGAAGTCTCCCAGGTAAAGAAAGGGAAGTGAGGCTGCAGGTCCTGGAGCAGAGGAAGCAGGTGTCTGTCCCTGGCAGCCCCAGGGAGAGGCAGGGGCCTCATCAGAGATGGCCTCATAGAGCCCAAACCTGAACATCTTTGTGGACGGGGCAATGGCTGTGGCCTCAGTACCAGACAAAACCCTGACCAGAGGGTTTTTTGCTTGTTTGTTTTTGGTTGTTTTTTCCTGTAGGAAAACATGAGTCCTTTGGGATTACCTAGCTAAGAGGAGTCCAGTGGAGACTGAGACTGAATTTCCCGGCCAGGCAGGGGCTCACGCCTGTAATCCTAGCACTTTTGGAGGCTGAGATGGTGGGTCGCTTGAGTTCAGGAGTTTGAGACCAGCCTGGGCAACACGGCAAAACCCCGTTTCTACAAAAAAATGCGAAAATTAGTCGGGCGTGGTGGTGCTCGCCTGTAGTCCCAGCTACTCTGGAGGCTGAGACAGGAGGATCGCCTGAGCCCAGGAGTTCGAGGCTGCAGAGAGCCGTGATTGTGCCACTGCACTCCAGCCTTGGCAACAGAGACCAGTTTGAAAAATAAAAAAAGATTGAATTTCCCATCAGCTTGGAAGATTGGGGTTTGATTTTTGCTTGATTTAAAGGCAATAAATAAATGAGATATTTTGTGCTACGTATTTTAAGCTCTTACACTTCTTGCTTTATATTCTGGGGTACCTGCATTTTTAGTGGTGTAATTTATTTGTCTAGATCTGTTTGCCCCTTAACCTGTAAACTCCCGGAAGGATCACGATATCATGGATGTTCCAGAACATACGCTCATCGAAGTGTAAAGGTTGATTGGGGTTGGGGGAGGTCTCTTCTTGAGAGCGATGGTCTCAGGATAGAAACTGGAAGAGGGCGTGTGAGATGTTAGGATTTCAGGAAGACAAGCTGTGACTCGGGAGTAGGGAAAAGTGGATTTTCTAGACGAAAGGTTAGGCAGAATCTGGGAATGGTCCGACTGGGGCACCAAAGGGGTCCCTGGCAAGCCCCGCCCCGGCCGGGGGACCGGCGCGGAGTGACGCAGCGCGGTTTGGCCGCTGTGGGGCGCCGTAGCCCGCGCCGTTGTCAGGGGAACGGGCCCAGCGCCGGACGAGGCCCAGCCAGTCTGGGCCTGGCCTGGCCGCCCCGCAAGCCTGCTGGAACCGGAGCCGGAGCCGGAGCCAGAGCCAGAGCCAGAGCCAGAGCCCGAGGACTCGCCGGCCCAGTCTCCGTCCGGGATGGGGCCCTGCTCCCGGGCGCGTTGTCGCCCAGTCCCGGGGACCGTCCCTACCGCGAGGGTCTGAAGCGCGGCTGCCCCGGGGAGGGTGGAAGGCCAGGCGTGGGGCCCGAACCTCTGGCTGACCTTGGCAGGGCCCATCTGGCACGGCCGCCGCGGCGCGCAGGTGAGGAGTCCCCGCCCGCTTTCTCACCTCGAAGCCTGGCTTGAGCCACGGGGTCGCGGATGCTGCCGCCTGGCCAGCTTTGGGCTCACTTCCGCCTGGAGCTGGTGACCTGAGTTCCAGGGCCCGGGCAGAGCGCGGGGCTTCCTTTTAGCATGCATCAAGTTCACAGATCTTCCTTGAGCGCTCACTCTTTGCCAGGCTCTGTGCCAGGCGTGGGCACAGAGGACTCCGAACAGACGTGGCCCGTCTCCAGAACCCAGAGCATTAAGGAAGGTGGCTGGGAAGCAGGTGTCATATATGACTAAAGTGATTTCAGGTCGGGTTAGGCTCTCTGGTATTGAAATCTAGGGGTTGGTCATGGAGGGTCTGTTTTAAAAGGAAACCATGGGAAGAGTTTTTAATTTTTTCCTTTTTTTTCTTTGAGACGGAGTTTTGCTCTTGTCGTCCAGGCTGGAGTGCAGTGGCACGATCACGGGTCATTGCAACCTTCGCCTCCCAGGTTCAAACGATTATCCTGCCTCAGCCTCCCGAGTCTGGTGTTACAGGTGCCTGCCACCACACCCAGCTAATTTTTGTATTTTTGGTAGAAACGGGGTTTCAACATGTTAGCCCTGGTGGGACTAACATGGACTTGAACTGGACTTGAACTCCTGACCTCAGGTGATCCACCCTCCTCGGCCTCCCAGAGAAGAGTTTGGATGAGTTTCACATTTGAAAAGCTCACTTCACTCTGGCTGCTGAGCAGCATGGTTGTGACAGGACATACTGGGAAGTCAGCTGAGGGCCATCCTAGTTCTGCCAATCTAGCTGTGCCTCCTAAAATAACTCATTTAGTGCCTCTGAGCCTCAGTGTTCTCATGATGGGGGTGGATGTTCTGCGTGTTTTTTATGAGAAAGTGAGAGGCCAGTCACATCTGAAATCAATGACTACAGGGATCTGCAAGAATGGTTGGAAATGATAGGACCTTCCTTAGAGCTCTGTGAGAATTGAATGAGTGAATTCCACTGAAGCAGTGCCTGGCACAGAATAAGTGCCCTCTAAATGCTGGTGTTGGTTATCATCATGCAAACACTGTAGGAGAGCAATGCTGGTGGTTTGGATTGGGGTAATGGCAGCAGAGATGGTAAAAAAGTGGCTTGACTTCCTTTACTGAAGGAGAGCTGGGTTCAGACCTGGGCTGAGGGGTGGTCTCTGCTTTTGTGGAACTATTGGTTCACTGTGGGAGACGGGTTTATAAACAGATAATCACCATGAGATGCAGTAAAAGCAACAGTGGTGCTTAATTAGCCAGATTGTTTTGTTTTGTTTTTGTTTTTCTTTCTTTGTTCTGTCACAACTTTGTTCTTAATGACTGTTGCCCTGGGTGTTCCCCAAGGCTGGCTCCTGCAGTCATATGAGTTGATTTCCTGGTTGAAATCAACAACCTTGGCCTCTCTTCATTGGCCTTGTTTCTATTCTGTGTTACTCCCTCCTTCTTGTCCCCTTTCCTTGGCTTCATTTGTATCCCAATTTGCAATGGTTGCTTCAGGAGGAGAATGGCACAGAAAATGTTTGCAAACCATGTCGACTCAGGAATAATTGGGGTTTCAAGCTTTTCTTGCCATGGCATCAGACCTTTTTTTTTTTTGACAGAATCTCGCTCTGTTGCCCAGGCTGGAGTGCAACGGCGTGATCCCGGCTCACTGCAAGCTCGACCTCCTGGGTTCAAGAGATTCTCCTGCCTCAGTCTCCTGGGTAGCTGGGATTACAGGCGCCCACGACTATGCCCAGCTAATTTTTGTATTTTTAGTAGAGACGGGGTTTCACCATGTTGGCCAGGCTGTTCTCGAACTCCTGACCTAAGGTGATCCGCCCGCCTCGGCTTCCCAAAGTGCTGGGATTACAGGCATGAGCCACTGCGTCCGACCAGCATCAGACTTCTGCCTGTTATGAGAGAGAAAGCGAGGGCCCAGCTACCTCTGAGACCAGTGACTGGAGAGGTCTTTGAGAACAGCTTGAAGTTCCAGTTTAATTTTCGGTAGTTGTGTGATGTGCATCCGTTAGTTGAACTAGAGCTGCTTCTCAGAATTTTAAGGTCAGAGACTTCTCTGGCACCTGTGGGGAATTTTAATAAACAAAGTACTCGTCCCTAAACAATCTTTTGTAAATGACTTTTGTGCTGTAAAACACTGTGTACCGTGAAATGTTTTCTGTCTAGCTTCTCTTTAGGTAGTTCAACTGGGCATCTGTTAAATCTCAGTGAAAATTATTTCAAAAGCAGATCCTGGGGGAAACAAAGTTCATTTAGGAATACTCATAGATAGAAAATCTCCCGACTGGATGGTGGTTTATACTTGTAATCCCAGCCCTTTGGGAGGCCAAGGTGGGAGGCTTGCATAAACCCATGAGTTTGAGGTTACAGTGAACGATGATCATACCACTGCACTCCAGCTTGGGCGACAAAGAAGGATCCTGTCTCTAAAAAAAAAAAAAAAAAAAA